AAGCCGTAATACTTAATGAACCTAATACTATATTTTTTTTTCCTTAAAAAGTGAGTTTGAGGATTCGTACTTTGCAGTGAAGAGTTTAATTTTCACTCGTGCCTTGACTTTAGCCACCAATCAGATAACCTCCTTCTAGTTAAGTCTACCCGCTTAAAGTTTATTTTGCCCTCCCGGTCCCTAAACCCCAGTGCTTTAAAAAACTCTGCGCCATCATCCTGAACTACATGGTGAAGCCCTTTACAGAACATTATCAAGTGTTCGGCAGTTTTTTCTTCCTCTCCACACGCACTGCATACTGTGTCTACCCCTTCGTATTTGGCCCGATATGTCTTGGTTCGCTGTACTCCCGTCCTGGCCTCAAACAGTAGAGAACTACCCCGAGTATTATCATAGATCCTTTCCTTGGCAATTTCCTGCTTAAAAGTTCGATAGATCTCTAGTGCGGACTTCTTAATCATGCCGATTCTCCACATGTTAGTCTCCGTTTCCTTCACTTTCTTCTTAACCAATAGTTTTTTTGGTTTTGCCACCTGCTGTTTTCTAAGTATTTACCAGTCAACTTCCTGGTTCGCTTCCTCCATTTTGTATCGACATTCTTCATGTACAAGTAGCTGAAAACCTTCCTAGCCCAACGCTCTTCCCCCATTTCTCTCAATCGCTTCTCAAATTTTATCTTGCTGCTAGCCTCCCTGCCCTCAAATGATGTCCATCCCATATCACCTTGTACTCCCTGATTTGGTGTATTCCCGTGAGCTCCTAAAGCAAGCCTACCTATTCCACGTTGCTTAATTTCTAATCTTGCTTGAACTTCTGATATCATGCACAAGACCGCATTGCATAATAGTCTCGGTCACGAGCGCCACCGCGCGGCGCTTGCTCAAAACTGAAGGCAGGCCAACTCCTCTGGGAGCGCGAGCCGTTCCCCAGGCATTGTTTAGAGAAGGCGTTGCTTTGACGCATGCGCGTTTCAGCGCGTCCGGCGTCCCTCCGTCTCGAAAAGAGGCAGACACAGTGCTGCCTGGGTAACGCATTGGTGCCAAATGCAGCATGTGGCATTTCGCGCCGGTTGCCGTCGGGCGGCGATGATGGACGCTGGTCACGCCGGTCGCGCTTGGCATCAGACTATAGAGTGCTCGTGTTTTGCTAACGTAGCGTCACTGTGCCCAGCGTGCATGCGCCTCAATGTTACGTTGGAGTAGCTTGGGCCCTTCATGATGCACTCGAGGCCGTTTCGCTAGCTCTACATATACCAAATTTGATGTTACGTGACGTCAATCGATGACGAATGTATATGACTGGTGCAAACATGATAATTATGAGACGCTTGTCATGTAAGAACATGACAACATACCCCGCTTATAGCGTTATCGCGGCCGTTTCGCTAGCTCCACTTATATTAAATTTGTCATCACGCGACGTGAATAGATGACGAAAGGAAACGGCACATCCAAACATGATAATCATGACAGGGAAGTCGTGTACGGCATAATTTACCTGCACCTTTTAACGTTGTGGTGATTTGAAAGTGGCATATCATTCTTCCCCTCGTGCTTCGCATATCATCGATTTTCATTGTACGTGGGATCTGCCAATTTTTTGTTTCTCGTTGCCAAATCGCGGTTCGCTTCTCTATAATTATCGCCAAGTAACGAAACTGGCTTCGACTGGCAAAAACAATTCCAATCGAGTAAGGTTCACATCGTATATTTCAACTACCCAAGCCGGTACAACCGATGTGTACAGTCGGGTCCGACAAGAACAAGTCTGTCCTACAACGTTTCAACCCATAAGTAAAGACTCTTGAAAGCTAACAAACACATGCATATAACTAAACATCCAGATGGCCAGTTGAGCCCCGCCGCGGTGGTCTAGTGGCTAAGGTACTCGGCTGCTGACCCGCAGGGCGCGGGTTCGAATCTGCGGCGGCTGCATTTCCGATAGAGGCGGAAATGTTGTAGGCCCATGTGCTCAGATTCGGGTGCACGTTAAAGAACCCCAGGTGGTCTAAATTTCCGGAGCCCTCCACTACGGTGTCTCTCATAATCATATAGTGGTTTTGGGACGTTAAACCCCACATATCAATCAATCAGATGGCCAGTTGAATGAACGTTGCTCTCATTGTGTTGCGGCATTCGAGTTTTGAATTGCACGGCTTCGGGACAAGGGTCCAATCCTGCCGTCAGCTATGCGGCGCTTGCCGAGTATAGTGTTGACCTTGAAGTGAAGTGAATGCATGATGTGGAATTGGGAACGAAAGTTGCACATTGTTGGCAGATAGTTCGTGCATTGATCGCGGCCTCCCACGGCCGGCTCGGTAACGAACCGAGTGCGCCATCCTCAAATCAGCCAAACGCTGACACGATGGCTGTGAAGAGTGTTTTCTTTTTTTCTTTTCGCGCTTGTGTCGTCAATTGTCGAGGGAAGAGCAAGAAAAATGTTTAAGTGACTTTGTGAAATTATTGTGAATTCCAGGCCACGCGCTGCGGCATAATATTTTGCTCGCGTGTTCTCGGGTGCCTCGACTCTCGATCTTCAGCGTTTCCTTATACCATGCTTAAAAAGTGCTGCAGGGCCCATTAAAAAAAAAGTCTCGCGCTAGATATGTTTGTAATCGAGTCTTTGAGCCAAAGAGGCTGTCGCCTCCTTGAGCTCAGGCAATCACGATGTACGACATACCGCTAGAAAATTCAGCTCACCAATGGGAAAACGCACTTAAGAAAGAGAAGTTTGGGTAAATCCACTGGTGATTCGCGCGAAACGACATTCAGCCTATTATGAACGGTCTCTAAAGCACGCGCGCTGCATTTATGCAGGTGACCGATTGCCCGAACTATAGCTGAGCCGACTCGTTTAGCTTTGGCGCCTACTGCACGGAGTTAGCGGGAGTACACGTACGGGTCAGTTTATTCCTGTTTGAGCCGTTTCGTGTCTGCGTGTGTGCGCCACAGGGATTGTTATGTGGATGGAGCGATGCAGTACAGACCGCGCCGGAAATGCGTTACTTATTTCGAACATCCTTTGTGCGGTACCTGCACCGGCGGGTGAGTAATAAGATAAGAGCCCGCACTTTCCTCGATGAATAACGTTGTTTCGAGCTGATCTTAAAAGAAAAAAAACCTCCAAGGCGAACCACGCAAAGCGTTCCACCACTGTTCGCTTTCTCCGTTACAAAATCATTTCTTTTTCTTTTTTTTCTGCACGCTCTGTATAATTTAGAGTGGATCGAAGAACGAAATGTCTGGGGCGGCCGTTACGACGAAAGAAAAATGCCGCCTCGCGGTTTCTCGCTATGCTTTCTGGAAGACGGTGAATGATCAAGGCATAGTGCGTTGGCATAAAAGGCATTCGAAATCCTTTTCTGCTCCCTCGTCGTATATATCTCGTCTTCGGTTTGAGCGCCCGGGTGTCAGACACGGGTCAGAGGTTGCGTTGCTATGGAGGGTGCAGTGATGTTTCGTACAAATTTTGTCTGCGGTGCACAAACGTTATGCGCTGACCCATTTTGATCTCTTTCAAGGCGCATCTCTCACTGTAACCGTTCTTTGATGTCCTTATTCTTATCTATGCTGGGAGGTCTTTCCCCCCCCCCCCCCTTTTTTTTTTCCAGAGAACGTAGCTCGACAACTTGTACGTTGGAGAACTGAGTTGCATCATTGATTTCAGACGTGGCAGTCTCTATTTATTTATTTGTTTAGGCTGCGACAGACGCTGAACATATGGGATATACAGAAATTCAATGTAGGAACGTAGACAAAAGGTATAATATTAAGGGTATCAACATCAAAGCAACATGGCAAACAAATGCACACAGTGAACACTAAAGTAGCAAAATGTGATGCAGATGAGCTGAATGAAATAGAGCACAGATATCACTGCAGTGTTCTCGTGAAAAAAAATATAAAAGGAAAGGAAGTCTGCAAAGAGTTTCATGTGTTACATAAAGGAAAAAAGTGCACAGTTAAGGGTACGTTTTCTTTTTTAGACAAAATAATAATAAGATCTAACAGACAATCATGCCAAGGGAAAAGTATGGGGGATGTTATTAGATATAATTGTAACGTAAATGGGGGAAAACAAAAAGTGCTCGAAAAAATTACCGTTTCTTGGGACCGAACCCACGACCTTAGAATAGCGCGTCGGATGCTCTACCTCTTCATATTTACATTATAATTACATCCAATAAATTTCCTTATACTTCCTTTGGCATTACTTCTCTCTCTCTCTCTCAATATATATATATATATATATATATATATATATATATATATAAGGTATTTAAGGTAATATTTTACGAGGAAATTGATAATTACCGAACTTGACTTCAGTAGTTGGTGTTCAACTCGCTTAGTTGATTTCTGCTCTCAATATTCTCTTCACTCTATCAATCGATTACTGGCCAGCACAGACACAAATAAAAAACACGAGGAAATCAAGCTGGGCTACTTCTACACTTCTACACGACTAAACGAGTGAATGAGATCGTACTAATGGACTCGCCGATAACTTATTTGACTGTCTGTCTTGGAAACAAATCGACTAACATGGGTATCGATTGACTGTCGAAATGGGCAAATAGTTAAATAAACAAGCTTTCGCTTGTTTCTTCAATTAATCGATGGCTTTAAGAGAGGTAATGAAACGAATGAGCGCGCGGTTGAATGGCTTTTCAGCTCGTCGAATGTGTTTGAATTAAGAGCATATGAAACACTGTTTGGCGAGTTAGTTTTGTAAAGACGTTCGCGGCGGGATAACTGAGTGGAATACTAAATTATTTTCAGTTAGGGAATACACGAACGTAAGTTATTACGCTATATGCGAGAGTGAATGCTACTGACTGAATTTCACATTGATTTATTAATTTATTCATTGATCGACTCATTGATTGATTGGTGAATTGATTGATTGAATAAATGGTCGATCGATTGATTGATTGAATGATTGATTGAATGATCGATTGACTGATTGATTGACTGATCGATTGATCTATGTCGTCGCAGTGAGCGGCGGCCACACTGCCGAGATGCTGCTCCTCGGCAACGTGGAACATCCGTACAGCCTGGTCGAGTACCGGGGCCTCTCTGTGAGCGAGTGTGGCGAGTCGTGTCTGCGCAACGCCCTCTTTCCGTGCCGCTCCTTCCTGTTCGGCCGGAGGTCGCAGCAGCAGACCTACTGCGGACTCACGCACCAGAACCGAGCCGGCCTGCTGCAGAACCCGGGCAGCTTCGAGCCGTCGCACAGCCTCAACTACTACGAGATCGCCAGGAACCTCGACGGTGAGGCCTCGTGTTTTGAGAGCTCCGCGCGCGCTTCGCAATCGCAGAGTTCGGCGGCGTACTTCAATGCGACACTTTCGAGTTTCACCTGTCTTGATGAATCAATGGTGGCGAAAGTGCTCATACTAGACTTCTCAGAGTAGAATTTACCGCTCTCGACTGATTAACTGATTTACTTGGGTGCCCCTCTAATGGCTTCTGTTCCCGTCACAGCCTGCGATGAGGAGGACGTCAAGTTCGAGCTCGTCTCGGGACGCTACATGACGGACCGGCCGCTGCGCACGTCGCAGGTGTCGTCGGCGCACGAGTGCCTGGCGCTGTGCCGCGGCGACGCCAAGTGCCGCTCGGCGTCGTACGACTACCGTCGTCGCGTGTGTTACGCGCACTCAGACACGCTCCGCACGGGCGTCGACACCAATGTCAAGCGGAACCCGCAGATGAACTACTTCGAGAAGGTCTGCATCTCCGGTGAGTGGGCTCCGCACGCTTGAAGACCGCCGTCGGCCGCGCTATAGGCCAGCTCGACCATCGCCCCTTGACAGAAAGCGAAGTTGATTGATTGATTGATTGATTCATTGATTAAATAATTGATTGATTGAATAATTGATTGATTGATTGAATGAATAATTGATTAATTGATTGATTGATAGAATAATTGATTAATTGATTGATTGATAGAATAATTGATTGATTAATTGATCGATCAATCGGATCATTGATTGATTGATTGATTGATTGATTGATTGATTGATTGATTGATTGATTGATTGATTGGTTGAGTGAAACATGACTGAACGACGTCTCACGACGTGAGCGTTGTGGCAGTTCGGTGGCTTCGCCCGTGTGTCGCTTTGAGAAAGTGCTATGGTCGTGACTTTGTATAGTGCTTTTTAGACTCTCTCCTTCATTTTTAATCTTTCGTACCCCCTTTCTCTTTTCGCAGCACGGGGTAGCCAACCACATAATTTCCGTAACTTCCTTGTCTTTCCTCGACTTTTCCCTTTCTCGCTGCAGTACGCCTGCCTATAGTTCGATGACCTTTGTTTATTACACCATATTTGAAAAGGCTGGTCGTCGGAATATCTGCATCTTTTGATTTGCAAAGTGAAGAAGGTGCGTATATGCCTTACGAATGGTGCTTAGCCCTAGAACGAGACAGGAGGAGAAATGAAGAAGCTGGGCGAGAAGGCTAACGACCAAAGCAGCAGTAAACTGACTACTCTGCCCTACGGGAATGGGTAAGAGCAGAAAAAAAAAATGAAAACTTTCTAGCAAGCTTCCATTGGTACTATATCGCAACAAATCTGACGCGTAATGAAACTTTGACATATGAAGCATCGCAGTGGTTGTTTCAGAGCGCTCCGGAGGTTTTGAGAAATTAAGATAGCAGGCAAGACTACTAAAATATCGACGTTGTAAAGGGGGGGGGGGTGACAAAATGATCACTTTTGCCTCGCAAGTCACACCAGCATTTACCCCTTTCCCATTTTTCGTGATTCAACACGTTGTTGCAACACCCTCCCCCCCAAAAAGAAAACAAAACAAAAACAAAACCCTGCCGAAGCTTACCGAAAGAAGAACCATGACTTGCATATCTGCTAGTTGAAGTTGAAGACCTATTGATTGATTGATTGATTGATTGATTGATTGATTGATTGATTGATTGATTGATTGATCCACTGCAGCCGGCAGCGTGTGCGACAAGCACTGGGCCTTCGAGCGGGTTCCGGGCAAGGAGTTGGTGGTGGGCGGCAGCTCGGGCTCGCAGTCCAAGGTCAGCGTGGAGGCCAACACCCGCGAGGAGTGCCAAGCGGCGTGTCTGGCACACCGCGACTTCGTCTGTCACTCGGCCGAGTTCAACTACCAGCTGAGCGAATGCCGGCTCAGTCCGCACTCGCGCTTCACTGGAGGCACTGGAGAGGCGAAGCTCGAGGACTCCAAGTTTGTCGTCGACTACTTCGAGAACAACTGCGTCCGAGGTAAGAACGGGGTTGAGGCTGAAATAGAATTAAAAGGGGGAGGGGTGATCGAGTTGAAATGAGACATAGAGTTCAAATTACTCCAGTTAATATTTCCATAAAAAAGGGTAAATCAATTATAACGCAAGACCTAGGGTTGCAAGAAAGGCACCCTCACGGACTGTATTCGTTAACGTGTAGTAACTGTGAGTCATACTCATATTTTTTTCTTATATGACGTATTCATCTGTTACTTCAACCCCCCCCCCCCCCCAAACACACATCACTCATATTCGAAAACTACCTGTACATCGCTTGGTATTCTACTTCCTCGGGAATTGGCACGCCTTTGGCCACGCGATAAGTCCGTGTGATGAGGTGACAGTGACGTCACTAATTTTTCAATTCGTGCCACCGTGACATAGACATGCTATTACGTCATCCATTAGCTATCTCCAATTACGGGACTTATCGCATCATTCGCGTTTAATCTGACTTCTCCGTTCTCGTTTGATGAAAGAGGTGAGGGGCGTTTTTTTTTTTTTTGCAAAATAAAACTCTTCACCCGAACTAGGACCAACAATCTAGAACCAGTTTACCCAAGTGTTTATAGTCATTACTGGTTATACTAAATTCTGAAAATATATATGACTGCAGTTTTAGCATAATTCACTTAATCGTATACAATTTTTAGAGCATCCCATTTCATCCCTTTTCACATCTTTTAAGTTTGTTATCAAGGTTTTCGGACAACTCTCACCTGCGCGTGACAGGGTAGACTAGTAGTTGGCTAAGACTGTGTCGGTACTCATGCCACTGAAGATTGCACCATATCTGGTGCTTGCGACCAATGAACCCCATTAAGCTTTGTGTCATGGTTTAACCGGGATTATCACCAGACTGTGTAATAGTGCGTAATAGCTGTCTGTTTCGGTCTCTCTCCCCTCTATATCTCTCTTTCTCTCGCCATGTTCCTTTACCCACGTGTCTTTAAACTTACACCACCTCTGCGGGCAGGAGTATGACGCAGCATACCAGACCCATTCCTTCTGGTAAACCTGCCTTCCCCTCCTCCGCTCCTTTCTCCCACCTCCTCTGCTCTTTTTGGTGGTTAGGAAGGAAGGAAGGAAGGAAAATAGGAGGAAAAGAACGGAAAGGAGGTTAACCAGCCTATAGGCAGCCGGTTTGCTACCCTGCGCATGAAAGATAAAGATGCTATGGTGTACGCGCTGCTAAGCACGACGACGCAGGTTCGATCTCTGCCCATGTTGCAAGGACCTCGCTTATGGCTAAAACTTCGTTTGCAGAGGTGCGCGGCTTCTGCAGCACGAAGAAGTACCGTGACCAGGAGCTCGTCCTGGCCGACCTGGTGATAGGCACCATGTCCCAGGAGGACTGCCTGCAGCGTTGTCTGAACAGCGTCGACTTCGTGTGCCGCTCGTTCAGCTTCGAGCGAGACACGCAGACCTGCTTCCTCAGCCACCACACGCGAAAGTCCGCGCCCAAGGGCGCCACCCTCCGGCTGCCCGGCACCGACCTCGTCGAGCTGGGCGCTTGCTTCGACGGTGAGTGCTTGCTGTCCCTATAAGAGAGTTGGGCACGACGTAAAGACCACACAAGAGAATTTCACTGCCTTGGTTTATTTCACGGAGACCGCCTTTGTCCCTTTATTGTAATGTGCTTTATGACAGCACACAGGCCGCGGTTCAGTTTGCATGCTACTTCGTGAATGGAGCATGCGGTTCAGTACCTACCAGATTGTACGGCAGCGTGAGTGATAACTCTAGAATGTGCAGTTGAAATATCTCTGAACACGGGATGTCACTGGAGCCGACATTTCAAGGCGGCCTCGAAGAACACAAGTGCACTTGTTGATACGTCAGCAGCAGCGACGATCCGCGTTCAAGAATCTTTGAGCCTTTCAAGCTTCCACCTTCTTCTGACATCTGAAGAATTTTAAGAATATACTGCGACCCACGTATAGAAGCTGACGGACTTCGCCGCCGATCCGATGACCGACGGCCAACGACTGTTATTACTGCTGTCAGTGTACAGCGCGTATTGGTTATACTTTGACTTATCAATTTCCTAAGCAAAATTCCACCTAATAAGTAGCTTCGTCTTTAGCAGCTTCATGACTGTCGTTTTCGTCATCACGACTGCATAACAATATAACAACTGTTCTTCTTTCGGATCAATGAGTAAGTATATTAGAGCGAGAACTGAGTTGGCTTTTCTTCATCAGGCAGGTTTCGGTCGTCGGTCAAGATTTCAAGAAATTCTGGAAGCGTCTTCGTGAATGTTGATTTGCTGTTCTCGTTGTTTTCTTTTCCCAATCCTGCAATAGTCTCATCGAGGCTGCAGTATAAAAAAATAGAAAGTTCAAGCAGAGGAATTAGCAGAAGTAGAGTTAGAGGAGGTCAAAGTAAAAGAAGTATAAGAGGAAGTAGAAGAAGGTGGCTTGCACCTTCGAGTGGTTCTAACAAAAAGCATAAGGGACGGCCTCACCGCTCAATTCTTATACCTGTTGAGCCCATTCGTACTTAAAGTGGTTCTTCATGCAGCCCCCCCTCTCCACCCCCTAACGATCATAACGCATTAACGGGTTCTACAATAGGTGAAGTAGGCACATTTTCATACATTCATCCCTCGCTTAACCATGCCACTTAGAGATCGAGAAAAACGGTGACGACAACGGGAATAGGGTTCGCCTCCACATTTCCGGAATATCTAAGAATGATAGCGCTACTCTTCGTGCGGATGATATACTTTTGAGAGACTCGACCATGGTTAACGCTGTCTTCTGTCAAGACTGCTTAACAGGCCTGAGGAGGTGAAGAGAACACCGATGGCGAAAATGTCTTTTGATAGAGAGAGATAGAGGGGGGAGTCTCTGAAGGCACTCAATTGGAAACGAGAATGAGTGAAGTTGAGGAGAAGGGAGAAAGGGACGTAGGAAAATAATGTGAAATCGCCAGCTGGAAAACGGTATCTTTTATTTGTTTTCCTTTGTTCTGTCACGATGATCACTTCATTAAGCTCCTTGCAACCTCATTTTATGCTACATATGCGAAAGTGAAAGTAACCCCAATTTTTCACAGCTTGCTCTTCTGGACTTTTATATTTGTCGGGTTCTTCAGTTATGCTTCTTTTATGGTACAGAGAATGGTCTCACGAAACGAAAATTCTCGTACTTCACTACAAGAGAGAGAGAGAGAGAGAGAGAAAGGCACTGTTTGACATTGCTGGTAAAGGGAGAGAGAGACCTTCACGAACGTTCGCTAGTAAACGAGGCGGGCAATGCAGGTGCGGAGTGAGACGCGCTCTGCGATCGTTGCTCTTTTTTCTCAAAAAGCAAAACAAACATAAAATTATGTCGCAGCTGCTTAACGGTTCGGAAGGTTTGCCTGTCTGTATCCTGTGCCCAGAGGAGAAAATGGCTTTCAGCTTCTATAGTGTTGGTTTTCTTTTTTTTACATCCGTTTTTCTCGTTCTTTTATTTGCTTGTTGCTTTCCTCTCTTGATATGCTTCCAGCCTTTCACTTCACTATGCTGACCCCCGGGGTGACTCTCGGGGTGCTAACAACATTGTGCGGCGGCCCGGGCCTCGTTTGAAATGCCATTGAGGGAGACGTCATTTTTCACGAAGCATCACTTCGCGATAACGACCCGGCTTTTTTTTCTTCTTTACTCTTTATTGTCATAACTCGCACAGTCTATGCGTGCCTCGCAGATGCAGAATATAGTGTTACAGAATCCAGACTTTGCTCCACAAATGTTTTTGTTGTTGTTGTTGCTGCTGCTGCTGCTGCTGCTGTTGTTGTTTCTAGTTAGCGTTTACTGGGAGTCTTCGCGTAATTAAAAGCAGGCACCCGTCATAGGAAATGCTTCTTAATTGCGTTAAGAAACACGGAAAAAGACGCAACATTGCTTCATAAGGTGCTCTCCATTGCAAAATCGTCAGTTACGAAGCAGAGAGGAGGGGGAAGCACCGCCTGCCTGCACCAAGGCCGCAACCTTGACATCTTTAATTACCGACTAATTGAATTTTAGACGCGTAGTGTACTCTTCGTATCCACTTCTCGTAAACAAGCCATACGTCATATGGTCTCTCATGCATTGCCTTAAGAAGGTTAGAAGGCGAACGTCTTCTTCTTCTTCTTCTTCTTCTTCTTCTTCTTCTTCTTCTTCTTCTTCTTCTTCTTCTTCTTCTTCTTCTTCTTCTTCTTCTTCTTTTCTTCTTCTTCTTTTCTTCTTCTTCTTCTTCTTCTTCTTTTCTTCTTTTTCTTCTTTTTCTACTTCTTCTTCTTCTTTTCTTCCTTTTCGTTCTCTTCTTTTTCTTCTTCTTTTTCTTTTTCTTCTTTTTTTTCTTCTTCTTCTTTTTCTATTCCTTCTTTTTCTTTTTCTTTTTCTTCTTTTTCTTATTCTTCTTCTAACTCGGTCAGTTGTACTAATCTTTTACAAGACTTTTATGAAAAATATTTGCGCCTGTAATCAGAAATTCCGCTATCTCCAACCGCAGTCGGTGAGCAAAAAAAAAAAAAAAGTTGTGAGTGACATCCAGCTCTGCACATATTATTTCCTTATTTTTGATTACCGCTAAACTGTATACCCAAACCACAACAGGTAAGTATATTGTTGCAGTCAGCTTTCTACATGATACAGCATATTTCAAAGAATGCTTATACATGGAATACAAGCAAGAGTCAAATACGCAAAATGTTTCTGCGCAATACAGTCTAAAAATGATTACCGCAGCTTCAGCGAAGTCGTGGTAGTATGTGTCACAGCAGAGCTCTGGTGGGCACGTATCTTGTCTTGGCTTGGCTAGGCTTCGACCTTCTCACCCTCTCTCTTTCCTAGCCCTCTGTGTGCTATACTATACTATACTGTACAATACTACACAATACTGTATTAAAAGTGAATATGCTAGCCCTAACCATGAGTCCTTAGTCGACGAACAATTATCTCTTTCTCTAACCTTATTTTTCTCTATCTCTTTCTCGCTCTCTACTCGTTCTCTAGCCCATCATAGTTGTTATATCACACGCCAGAGAAATGTACACGTGCTCTGGGAGCGAAACTGAACTGGACAATGAAAAATAGAGCGCGTGCCAGTTCATGACGAGTTTTTTTTTTCTATCTAAATGACACATGGCCAACATCGTGAATAACAGCTTTGCTATTAAAACAGTGCACCGCAGTTGACTATAATGCTGCACAACTGTTTCGAACCCAACAATCTGTACGTCAACACAGTCTAGTACAACTAAACTAATTACCATAACTAACGTAAGCACACTTTTATGTAAACCTCAGCATTGTTTCGGGAGTTGGCGCCAATGACATTCCATCTCGCTTCAAGAAGTCGATATACAAATTTCCAAATAATTGATTGGGCGATAAACCGAATCGCTTAATATTACTATTAATGGCGACAAATTGTGCTCGAAAATACTCGGACAATACGAAGCACTCACTCGTTGAAAGGAAACAGAGAGGTCCGCTAAGTCGTCGAGTTCGAAGAAAAGAGCTTTGTCGAGGGTCCGGTCCTTGTTTTTTGCGGAATGGCAAATGGCTTCTGGGACGAGAGTTTCCTTTTGTCTCTCACGCGAGCACCCGGCGGCTCATAATAAGCAGAGCGCTGCCACAAGCACGCATCGTGCCATTGTTAGGGACGATGTATTCACTGCGCCCGTGCACTGCAGGACCGTTTCCTTGGCGTAAAAGCGCGCAGCGCTACGGATGCTGTGCCGACCAATCGTGAGACCGGGCTTGACAGAGCTGAGACACCGTGTACATGCGCGCGGAAGAAGTACATCGTCTACGATCGACCCTCGCATTGTCTGCTATCTGGCGTCAGACAATTAGGACTACAAGGGTGTATGCTGGAGCATCGTGTTCATCCACCGCGTTTACAACATCACCTGGCTGTTGAGTCAAACAAGAGCCATCGTTAGCGAAAATCTTCAGGTGCATGGCCAACGTAAAACGTTCAAAATATCGCTGCGTGCGCGTTACTACAGTTTTTTAGAGAAACCACAAGTATCGGAAATGTACTGAAATAGATAAATATATTGTTCTCATTCTGAAGTAATAAAGGGGCCCTGCAACAGGTCGCAATAGCCTTGGCCCTGCTAGACGACGGGAGAACAATATACACTGGCTCTAGATCAGCAGCCCGAGCATTCGGTTGGGCCACCATCTCGGAATCAGCCTTACGGATCCTCAAAAATGAAGTAACACAACACAAGATCGTCTTGTTCCCAGCTCACATGGGACAGATAGAGGGCTCTCCTTGCAACCTCAACGATACTGTCCACACAGCTGCGCGAGGAGCCGTCGACCGTGTAGCTACTGACTGAACGGCGTGGCAATAAGGTTCGGGACTTCAAAGATCCCCCAAAGACATACAATGAACTTCCTAAGAACTTTTATCTGAGCAAGTGAAAGTATCCACCACCTTCGAGTAACCTCAACAGGCCTCTGGCATTGACGCTCTGACTCCTGCCGGTCGGGGCATATTCCAGTCCCGCGCTCTTGCACAAAATTTATCCAGACGTTC